CTGTTTTCAACTTAATAAATGAGATGGTTCTAGAATGGATCCAATTTCTTCAGATCAGTTTTATTTTCCATAAGATGATGAACTGGAGAATTTTCAGGTTATTGTTACAAAAGGGTCAGTTGATCCAGAAAATGACGGTTGGTCTGACATGCCTTCGACTTACCAAATTCATGTAGAACCAATTGCAACATCTGGAACAAGGAGACCACGACTTTCGAGCGACCTAACATTTCTGTCGGATTATGAAATTCCACCTGACCCTGCTTGGGAGGTCGAAAGATCTAGGTCATAATTTATATATGTTTTAGGAAAAGATTTTTTTAGTCTGATATTCCTCCATCTAAATTTTGAATCGTCGTTTTAGAAATCGCATTTTTAAGATTGCATTTTGTGGAGATGTTGGGTGAAGGAGCATTCGGAGAAGTTTGGAAAGCAATACTAAGAATGTCAGTAGTGCGAACAACCACAAATCAAGGAGATACGCGAGAGGAAGAGGTTACCGATGTTTTTGTACTTGAGAATCCCAAATTTTGTTTGTAGGAACGAAAGTCATGATGTGCGTTGAAAGTAACTTAAATTGTAGGTAGCCGTCAAAAAACTGAAAGCATCTGCTCATGAGAAAGAATTAATTGATTTGGTCAGTGAAATGGAAACGTTTAAAATAATTGGTCATCACGAGAATTTGCTTCGATTGATTGGATGCTGCACCGGTACTGGTCCGTTGTATGTCATTGTGGAGTTGTGCAAGCACGGGAATTTAAGGTGAATTAGTTTTGTTACATAATTGCTGCCAATTGGTGATTGTTTAGAATAGCTGGTAGTTCATGACTGATATTTTACATTTTTGTAATTGTCATTTATATGTTATTAATTATTATTATTTATTTATTATTATTACCATTATTACTATTATTATTATTAATCAATTAGATTATTCAGAGATTTTCTGAGAGCTCATCGTCCTCGCGATGCAGATAGTGGTTCACAAGTTCCCGAAGCTACAAATTTTGCTTCCGGTATTGGCGGCAGCAGCGATCATTACTTAGAACCGAGAAAGTTGCAAAGAAAATTAACCATTGCATCAACACACGATCAGCCAATGCTTATCAAGCATTTGACACAACGACATCTCGTACAGTTTGCCTGGCAAGTGGCGAAAGGAATGGAGTTCATGGCTAGTAGAAAGGTTTTATTGTTTTGCCTTTTGCAAAACTCATTGACTAGTCAAATCATTTTAAACAATTCATTTTTTCTTTCTTTAATTTAGAAAAACCGTATATTTACCATGCCAATGAGGAATCGCTTACAGATAATTCATCGTGATTTGGCTGCACGAAACGTTCTGGTCGCGGACGGTTTTGTAATGAAAATATCTGACTTTGGTCTATCCCGGGATGTCCATTACAATGATTATTATCGAAAGAAGGGGAATGGTCGATTACCGATAAAATGGATGGCATTAGAAGCACTGGATTCTCATGTGTATACAATCTACAGTGATGTGTATAGTTTCTCTATTCGGCTCTTATATCAATCAGTTCTATCAATTATCAGTTATTGATTCAATTCATGAAAGAGCAGGAGAAATTAATATTGCATGTTTTTTTTTTTTTTTTTTCCAGCTGGTCATTTGGAATATTACTTTGGGAAATAATGACCCTCGGTGGTACACCTTATCCGTCGATTGCAATGCAACAGCTGTATTCATGTCTGAAAGAGGGATATCGAATGGAAGCACCGGATAATTGCCCTGAGGAGGTTTATGATGTTATGGTTGCATGTTGGCAGGTATTTTTCACACGCAATCATATTTATGATTTGTTATTACGATTCACTATGTTTATCTAATGTTATTATTGGGGTAAATATTTTAGGAAAAACCAGAAAATCGTCCAAGTTTCGACACTTTGGTTGATTATTTTGACTGGATGCTTACTCAATCAGCTCGTGATCACGAGGTTACCGAAATTATAACTCGAAATTTCCTCTTCACATGAACCTCTATTATTGTATGTAATTCAAGCTATCTCTACAGAATTATTTGGAAGTACAGTCGATAACGAGTGATGGAAGTGAAGAAGTGAAAAAAATCGCACCACCGCCACCTCTACCATTACGTGCCACAGAGAGTCCATCAAGGCACAGGAAAGCACGACCACTATCAGAACCTGTTATAAGTCCGAGTGAAGTAAATTTTAAACACTTACACTTTTCTTGAACTGAAATCAGATCGGAGAATCATTCAAGTTCCACCACCTTAGCTGATTGTTTTCATTTAGTCGCTGTTTTCTCTTCCAATTTGATATGAAATGATGATTATGATAGAGATGATTTCGGTGAGAACTGTCTATTATGAAACGTTTTTTACAAAAATTGAGGATGTTCTAGTGTGAAGAGATTGAGAGTTGCTAAGCATAGTAAAATGGACCGTATTAGATCATCCAATTAAAAAATGTGCTGCACCACACGAACTTTGTGATTTTAAATTGTTTTTCACCTTTCCTTCTAATTCGATCAACTGCTTGCTAATTGTTTATTGTAGCCGGTAGTCGATCCTGACTCAGATTCTGAATTTGATGATGATTCCCACCCTCTGTTATCTGGCGAAAAAGCTGTTTCGTATGAGAAGCAAAGTCAATCCGGTGTGCATCATGCATTTATTAGAAGATGTCCTGCACTTCCAATAATGGATACATCGTAAGTGTCGGAATGAAAAGTTTCTCCACTATAACTTTTTGTCTTTAACACTCTGTCGCACGCTAACCAAAATCTATTTTTTTGGAAGGTATCCAGAAAGTAACGGAGTTTGTGGTTTCATGCTTTCAAATATGCTTTCAATTTCTTCTAAATTTATAAATATGTTTTTATAATTTCTGAAAGTAAGTTAGTGCGAAGATTTGCAGAGAAATTCTTTCAGACCTTTCAATGAACTTAGCCTGAATAGCACGGCGACAATATCGATAGATAGTGCAATCGGTTCACCTTTATGGTCAGCTGGAGCAACATCGGCATTGTTGGAATTAGATGCCAATGAGAAAGGCGATTCACCGACTTCCTATAAGAAACGCCGATTAAGTAATGGACCATACTTAGAAGCTGAAAAAAAGAATGAGGTCACAGGCGAAGAAAATGACACAGATGTTACTTGTAACAGTGGTTTACTGAGTCCGCAGTATGTAAATGTTGAGAGTGCACAGCCAGCTTCTGTTGAAAAGGGTAAATTATTTAACTTACTCTCCTTCTTATCACTCTCGATCTAATAGTGTTGTTCGAGGTTGAACTTATTTCGACAAGCAAAATGGATAATTGATTTATTATATATATATATAGTTCCCTTTTAATCCATGTCATTTAATGTAAGGATTTACCCGTTATTTAGGTAAATTACAAGGCACGAAATTTCCTTTTCCACCACTAAGGCATACTCGTTTTTCCGATTCAACGGCTTATGAAACCAATCCAGTTCATATGGACAATTTGAGGAAGCCAGCATTTGAAGGATCCCTATCAGCGTTCACTGTCAATCAAGCAAATATGTTAGTTCGTCGTTGCTTGAAAATTAGAAGTTTTGTTAAAAATCTTTTACTTATTTATTTCGATCCCACTTTGATGTTTGTGGTTTTTAGCTATCGTTTGAAAAACCGACAGTATGAAACGGAAGAATATTTTTTGCAAGCCTTTTTTGTTATTCTTATAGCAAAATAGATTTTGATTTTCAACTGATAAGGAATTAAGTAATTTCTATATATTTGTGCAGAAGGATTTTTACCTCATGTTTCTAAAGTATCTAAAAATTTTTAGTTTACTAACAGAGGTGAGTAAGGAAAACCCGACTGAATCCTCAATATCGAAGTCAAACAACAATAACCAGCAGCGAAGATTTTCGATCGAATCAAGTTCAAGTGGGCGAGGTGGTTCCTCAGGGATGTCTAGCGCAGAAGGTCTGGGTGGTGTTGCCGAATTTTGTCAAATTGAATGCAGTGGAGGAAAAGCAAAACTTTATGAATTGTATTCGCAGCAACAACAACCAGAAAGGAAAATTCCGTTGTCTATTTTAGAAGTTGACAAAAATTCGTGACTCAAATGATTTGCGAAGAGCGCTGGTTTAGAAATTCTTACTATTCCTGGAATGATGTTAATGTGCACATTCACCTCACTTCGTTTTTGTTGTACAGTGTTATGCCAGTTCCTCTGACAGATCTATTCACTTATTTGTAAGTGTTTCTTGTCGATGGAACTATACTACTGGATGGTTTCTTGTCTCCTAACAGCATCGTTTCCAAGAATTTCTTTTCTTCGAGCTGACATTGATTTGAAAATTTTGCAATAGTATTAGGCCACTGCTTCATTTGCATTCATCGTTTTAATGAAGTTTAACAGGTGAATTATTACTTACTCTTATGAATTATTAATTCTCCGCGTAACTGTTTTCTATATTGTAATATTTTACTACTTATTTATTATGGATATATGTTCTCACTGCATATTTCTGCCCTTTCTTATAGCGATACTCAAATCGGTTACTGATTGATTGATAAAATAGAGGAGGAAATAAAGTATATTTCTTTTGTTAGATGTATCTATATTTTCCATATTAACGTCAAATTTATTTATGTACTTTTAATTAGATACCGTTAGTGAAATATATAATTTTTATGGTTATTAGGGGTGGAAATTAAGCAAAAAACTCGTAGATGGAAAGGTAGAATTTGTCGACAGTAATTTTTCAAAAGTAGTGAAATCAGCTCTAATTTAATTCCTTTAAGTTTTCATTTTCTACTTTTTTTGTTTGAAATCTCTCACTTTCAAGCACTGTTTTCGGTAAAATTTTCTGCTACTTTGTAAGTGTTAAAAGTTTAGAGTAAATTTCTGACGATATCGTTGCTAATTCTATTTTCAGTCAAAGTGCAGTCGGGACTTTGCCGGAAATAGTAAAAAGTTAGCTGTTAATGATACGTACAAGAAAGAGGAGAGAAGAGTGCGAACATAATAATATGTAATTATTCACGAATGCCAACAGCTTTAAGATTTTGATTAACAGTATGTGAGACTGCCAAACTGAACATTAAATCAATATTTTTCGTGTCGGTTGCTGTTGTTACAAACGCAAAGTATTTTTGTTTGTTTGATATACATCTCTGGAACTGGTTTTCCAAATATTTCGTACAGTCTTCTACTGAATTATCACCTACAAAAGCATTATTTAAATTTAAATAAACAATATGGGCATAGGTTGTTCACGATCACTTGACCGCTTTACCCTTTCTTACTTTCTTTCATCATACCAATAAAATTTAGCTGGTAGTTGTATTACCTAATATCTTTTCTCGAACGATTACGATAATGCTTTTTAAGATTTAACAGTTTAGAACGTTAGAAACTTGCTAATTAATTAGGGGAAAAAATTTATGAAAGCACCTGAAGAACTCGGGAATTGCAATTTTTATTTCCGTCCCTTAAATTAATTCATCGCAGTTCGTGTCTGCTAACATCATTAGACTTTATAGGAGAGTTTGATTTCCTGAGCTTATATATACATTCTGGTCATTTTCCCACAAACAAAAAAGAAAAATAACCCACCACCATATTCTGGCCAGCATTTTTTCAACGAAGAGCATCTGATCTTTTCCTGGAAGATATCATACTTGTTCAAAAACAAAACAATGGACGAATTCTTGAAATGGTCGCTTTGCGCAATCGTTTTAAAGATTCGATAACTTTGTATCATGCGATTCTATATTTAAAAAATAAAATTAGTCTTTTACTTTAATTAAAAATAGGCTAAGCATACTTCAGTATACATATTCACGTTTTAGCCCAACATGAACAATGGATAAGATTAATTATAACTAATCTAGTTAAAACTTCTATTTGAAATTATTTATGCGGTAAGTCTGGGGATTTTTCACCAATTTTCAATCCATAAAATGTACAATCTTCAAATAATTTGATATCGTTATGTAAAAGGGACAATTAAACGCTATCAGTGTCAATCATATTTTCAGGAAACATTAGGCAAATCAAATAAGCACTAATAATGATGAATTTAAGGAAATAATCTGATGATTGCAATCTCAGTTCTTTTAAGCTTTTTCTATCAGATGATTTACTACGTGAAGCTGACAAATAAGCGTCCGTTGCTTGCCTGACTTTCATCTTCAGGGTCAGCTTGGTCAAATTCACTCATTGCCACAACAAATAGTACCATATTCACGTCATCGAAGCAGTGAATCCATTTGCGTCTTTCCGAACGCTGTCCACCAACATCAATCATTCTAAAAAAGTGCATATGTGAAATAGTTAGTAAATAATGGCATATAGTAAATAAAATAAATTTGCATTAAGTAGAAGGATGAGATCATCATCAATAGAGATGATTAAATGTTAGAGCTGTAAAAAAATTCTTCTATTTTAAGAGAGAGTAGATGAACAAGATCCATACTTGAAATCGACTTTCTTATATATAAAATTGATTTCATGTATACCCATTGTTTTGAAACGACATTGTAAGATATCCTGTGTTGTTGGAGAATAATCAGGTGATGTAATTCTTCCAAGACTATTCAGGAAGCTACAATATTATTACTCACTCGTCTGCAATGCTGAGAAATTTTGAAGAGAATAAGCCATTATAGTATAAATTTTTTCATATTGTGCAATAGTTGGAGAAAAATTGCGACAAACAATTTGGCATTATCGAGTAATTGATAATTGAAACGTCTTTCGTAAACAAGTTGTATGCTATTGCTCTGCCAAATTTGTTGAATGATTTTAGCCATTTCATGCGATATTACAATTTGAGCATCTCCCAAATCCGAATCGACATCTTCATAAAATTTCATAAATATGTTTACTTTCTCCTGAAATTGTTAGGTTCCATTATATATTCATCATAAGTTAAAAAGCGGATAGGACTATATTTACTTCACTAAGTCCACGAATCTGAACTCTCCTCATCCAAATGACATTCGTGAAGGTAACAATGTTTAAGACCTGTATGACATGTTCATGCACGATCCGATATGTTTCACATGCTCGAAGCATTTTTGCCACTGAATCAACGACATTCCGTAAAATTGACTGCCGATAACGACTCTTGTCCTCCTCGGTGAAACCATTAAGATGCAATATCCTGTACTAGCTTTAATTATCATGAAAATCTTCTTTATTATTCACTTTGTTTATTTTAAGTGTATGCCTTTTTGAAAATAAGAATTTCCATATAATTGATGCATTCCTTTTCTTTAGGAAACAAAAATTTCGGTGAATATAAAATGTAGCAAGTAATGAACCTCATTTGCTTAAATATCGTCGTTTTGCCGCATTCTGAGCCGCCTGAATTTTAATCATTACTGACCAATCAAAGTTACTTTAATTGCTGGAATTTAAGTCCATTTAAACAGAAAAAAGCGAAAGAACGTCATTTTTCATTTTCCACTTTTGTTGTTGCAATGTATTTCGAGAAGCCATTTTTTTTTTATTGTTTTGAACCAGTGAGCAACTTAACTCGAATACTGCTTTAAACTGCTTCTGTTTGAGATTAAATTACGACTGTAAAAGAATTCGACATGAAGACAAGATCCCTAGAGAAGAAAAATTGATGCAAAAATAACTGTTGTCCTCTTGTTTCAAAACTTCCCTAGTAATAAGATTTTAAATATATTCGTGTTTTCCAGTTTTTCCTTTTGCAGTTGTTTGTCAATTTGTTTCGAAGTGGCTTTTTCTGATACTGTCTTTGTTACTGCAGCTGTTGAAAGTACTTTTCCTGTAGCGGAAGCGGTTATTTGATGATGATTGCTTACTACACTGCCCATCTTGGCTGCTGCTGTAAATGAAATTTATCAGCTATAATTAGCAATAGACCATTATTCGATTTAATTTGTCTTTTAATAAACCCAACAGCATCATGCAAAAAGTGCAGTAAATGAAGGAGGGGCAAGGATCAAAAAGGGAAAGTGCTTTGCAAATTTAATAAGAGTGCTATTTAGTCAACAAAAAAAAAAAGATCAATTATGAATACCTTTCTATACCATCCAGTTGATTCAGATATTCAAAAATTCAAAGTAATTTTTAAATTTCATGTAATTGTTAGTACGCTGAAAACAATTTTCATATTGAAGCAAAAAATTATAGCTAATTAGTTAATTTGCTTTATATATCAGAAAAATGCACTTGCTAGATTAATTCTCCGAATAAAAAGTTTATAGTTTAGTTATAATTCTCTGTAATATCTAACTTTAATATGAAGTCCTAAAACATGAATGATTAATTTTGGAAAAATTTTTGAAGAAATTTAAAATAAAGCCAGATGCTATCATTGAAAAATAAACAGCAACTAGAAAATGCCAAACCCACTTCTATTATGCAGAAATGTATCAAATATGTAGAAATATAATGAAATAGATATGCAATTACACCTTGCTTCAGTTGCTAAGGAAGACGCTGAGAAAATAAATCATGTGAATAACGATTTATAACACCTTATAGAGAAATATTGTTGACTAATAAAACATACGACGCTCACTAATTAAAATCATAATTAATGAAACTTTTCCTTTATAAATAATTAAAACGTGAAAGAAGTAGCACGTGCTATATTGTGTGTTGATTTCTAGCATGTAGATGATTTTTAGAAAATTAAGACATTATTTTCATATATGGTAATATTCATGCATTCAATGCTATCCTTCTTTGTATTCAGATCTTTTTCGATTCTGATCATTTTTAAATAAACAACTCTTTGTTTCATTTTTCCCTGTAGCATTTCATTTGTATTTCGTTTCTACTAGTACTAGTAATATCTACGGTGATACCTTATGAAGGAGAAATATGGTACTATTCCTGGAAAATGTTGAAGAATGGATAGACTGATTATCTGCTTGGATCAGTGAAGCAAATAAGTACATGAAGATTAAAGAAATTCTAAGAATCTGTTAATGAAAGACTGAAGACTGCAAACTTTATTGTGAAATAAAAATGGCAAGAAGTTTACAACTTGTAATAAGTGACAAGATAATAACGTTAAATTTCACGTTCCAGTTCATCGATATATGGCTTTACAGCAGTTCCTTGAACCCAATTTTCGGGATGAAAACGGTAACGTGGACGACCTTTCTTATCAACCAAGAATTTTTCAAAATTCCAAATAACATCATTTGTACCTATGGGATCGTATATTAACTGATGACGCTTTCCAATTACTGGCACTGTCGGCGGGCAACGTTCCTATAAAAGAGTTCTTTTCAATGATAATCATAGGCTCATGAAACATTCAGATTTTAGCAGACGATTCTTCCTATTGTAAAAAATACATTTTTTTTGATATATCTGGAAAAAAATTTTTTTAAGCATTAAAACAGATTAAAGTATAAGGGGAATTAATTTCTAAAATCTTAAAAAGGAAATCCAATGCGAAAAAGGTATGAAAAGTGAAACTAACGCGTTGCTTTTTTGGCAATAAAATGAATAGAAAATATTAAATAAAGAAATTCTCCAGAAAAATCATACAACAAGACCTTCAAAAATTTGTAAAGCGGATGATCATTTTCACCATTAACTTCAAGTTTGCCAAAGATATGCATATTTTTGTGTGGTTCCCAGCCATGTCCTGGTCTTACATATTTCAAACCACTCAACAACTCGTGATTTTCTGCTGGTTCTTGCAAGTAAAACTGATTGCATGGAAATCCTAGGATATTGAGCGTTCCATTAGAATTACTTTCAAGTATTGGATTGAAATCTCTGTATTGCATTGTGTATGCTGAAAATTTGTCATTCATTGGATGTAGAAATCAATAAGTTGAAAGGAACCATATGTGTCTTTTAGGGTTAAAATATTTTAAACTTAAATATGGAAAGGAAGAAGTTAAGGCAGGCAAAATAAAAGTTTTGGACATATGTTACAGTTAGTCAGCTTTGCCTTCTCTCTTATCCCTTTGAAAAAATAATCATTTTGTCACAACTTCAATGACATATTTAATCTTGTTAACTTTCGATAAGAACTTAATCTTGTTAACTTTCGATAAGAAAAATGCTTTCTGAAAAAAAAAAAAACTGAACATTACTACAAATAAAAATGACTTATTTGAAGCACAAATAATATTTTATAAGAGAAGCGCTTACCGCAGTAAGTAGCGACATTAACGATTAAAAGAACTTTGTTGCGATATTCTGCCAAACTTTTTTGTGCACCGTTTAGCATTTGAACTTGAAAATCATACACTGTTTGATTCGTTATTTCACATTGCTTCGGTTTTAAGAATTGTTTGCCAATTTTTGGGCCTGCAGAAATTAAGTTGAAATCTTTTTTTCTTCTCATATTCCCTGAATAAAATATCAAGTAATTTTTACTTGACAGATCAAAAATAAAATCACCGGCTTTTTGGAAATGATTTTTTAATAAAAATAGGTTTTTATTTAATTTGAAGACTTTTCATAATTGACTAAGTTATTATACCTTTCCGTACCTAAGCATAATCCATCTTGTATAAAGTAATTTTTTCAAGTTTTGTATTTCATTTACCAAAATTTCTTACCCAGTTGTGCAACAATAAGTTGCAATAACACCATGTGCGATAAAATCAAAAGTTGTGCGGACATTTTGATAAAATTTTTTTGATAGTAGAACTGAAAATGTTATAATGTATCACTTATTATACATTATTCTTGCTTGACAGTTTATGTCATCAATTTCAAAATAAACAACGAAACATTAAATTTGACAACAAATTTTCTATTCAATTAAAAGCAGAAAGTTTTTAATAAAAATGTTGAACAAAATGAGGAATCATTCGGAAAAAATAATGCAGAAATATTTGTGAGATTGTGCGTAACAAAATTAGGCTTTTAAAAATGTATTATTCCAGGTTCGTATTATAAGAATTATTTCAGCTTTGTTGTTGACATTGATTACTTCTGCTGCTGATATCGACTGCCGATATACTTGTACAATTTTTATATGAAATGAAAAAGTACAGAAAAATTTTTTATTATTTGTGAGAATGGTTAAAAACTTGCTCAGGTTGGTTTTATTTCATTTCTTGTTTGTGCCAGTTGTATTTATGAGGTTGAAAAAAAAGACTAAAAATCATTATTGAAAACGTGATTGCAAATTCAAAATAAATCGCATGATTTTAAGTCACTTCTTGTTTTCAGCTGCTATGCAATACAAATTTCAATCCATTCATAATGGTTCTTTTATCTGCTTCATTTATAATTTATTAAAACAAAAGTGCCGTTCAGCAATTTAAAATTTAAAGGGCAACATATCGGAGAGGAGCATCATCACTTATCTAAAACTGTAGGAGTAAATAATAAAAACAAAAAAGACTGCTGTGCAATTAGACGAGATATTTCATGAACACAGAGTTTTGAAGCATATTTCATTTATCATTAGGGAAACAGCACGTGACAACAGATGCACTGACAATAAATTTAAATCACATTTTCAGAATAAAGACAGTAAGTCGAAACTAAAATATGAAAATAATCAAAAATCGGAAGAATTATGGGAAAATCGAGGGATGCAACTGATCCAGATGAGTTGGATGAACAAAAATATACTCACCTATAGCGAGTAATCAGTATCCCTAATGGCCATTAATTAATTAATATAAAATAAAGTCTTGTTTCGAAACAGAAATTTTGATTTCAATATTTCTAGTTGCTTTACTCAGAATTTTTGGTAGATCCAGTAGTTTCGTAAAATGTAAATCTGGATGGCATGGTGGTCCTCATTAATACAAGAGTTACCAACTTCTACCCAGGTCTCTTTAGAGTCCAGATCTTTTTTAAAAACCAGATTAATTCACACTCTTGGATCTTCGGTGCAGTTTTAAAAATGAGAAAGTAGGATTCGGTATGATGCTATTAAAGAGTACAAATCACCACATTTTATTTATCATCACAGTTATTACAATCATAATTGAGATTAAATAGTGAAAATAAATCTTGAAATTATGTGAAGGAAAGAGAAAAATAAAAGACCCGTAATATAATTCGTCATATTAAAATTGTTGTCAGTTTACACTTGCATATCTGCTTTTCATTGCTAGAAGTTGGTTTTAGTAGCAGATGCTGATCCACTAGAACTTGTTACTATCAAATTTATTGTGTTTGGCAAAAAGATTATGCAGTATGCTATCCACCTTATTGAAGAATAAGGTGGTATTGAATTATGTAGATTCCAAGAAACCTCAAAAGTTTTCTCAGAAATTGGTAGAAGCTTATATTTCATGAATGAGCTGAATAAGATGACTTGAACTAACTATAGACTCCAATGTTCACTTGAATATTTTC